CTGTGGCTCCGCTGTCAAGGCACGTCATTGACAACTCGTGACTCCCAGGCACCTCTGTGTGTATTTTATATTCACCATGGTAGATTACATTAATCTAAACCCTTTCATTTTTCTTCATGAGTTTGTTTTCTTTACTATGTACTGGTTAAATCATGGACCGTTATGCATGAGTACCGGTCTTCCGAGCGTCTCTGGAACTTGGAGCATTATTCGGCATTTGCAATGCACGGTCCAAAAATATACATGTGCCAGTTTCTAAAGCCACATTCTGCTGGTTATATTTATAATTTATCCTTCATTCGTGCATAATGTATCGAGTACATCTTTACAACGAAAATCCAGTGATGCGGAAGTTATGGGGTCAAACCACCTACGCCATCATTCTGGATTAAAACTTTAGCTGAAATACTGGAGTAGAAATGTCCCCAAGTACTGTGAGGGTTATATCTATAGACAACTTATCCCGGTTGTGCTATGCTGGTGCCACAATATGATGTGAAAAACATTCTTTCTGGAACTCCCAACAGACAATATATTGAGAAACAATCTATGAGATCTTGATTTTAATCTTGATGTGAAGCTTTCGTGACTACAGGAATCCATACTCTTTAATTCTATGAGATACCACGACATAATTGCTAGCGTCTCCTCAAGACCTCTCTCACTACGGCCACAAAGATGGTGCTCCTTTATGTTGATTGGCCAATGAGTTTACTTTTAATTTGTCATGTTTGTACAATCACAATATATTCTTAGGCCTTAGATTTGGGCTTACCATAATGATATATAAAATAAAATTACCATTATATAATAGTTGTTTTGAGACCTTGGTGATAAGACTGAGACCATCAAACTTGGTTTTAGTCTGGTTACTGCAGATAAAAACCCAGAATATCCAAAAAAAACTATTACCCACAACTCCAATTACGAGAGCTTTAGGGTCCACAAAACTCCTATTATCTGCGGCCCAATTCTTCCAATAATCTGCCGTCATCCGTCCGTGATTTTTTCCACAGGTCATCACTGACCTCGCAAGACATCCAGATCTGACTTGGGGCCCAGCAGGGCCAGGGAAGCTAAATCAGTGTGTGTGTGTGTGCGAACGGGTATATCAGATTCTATGCATGTGTATGTCAGTGTGTATATCCATTGTTTCTGTGGGTGTGTGCTTGTGTTTATTTAATATTTTTAAATCCCTTTGATAAGTGGAGTAAATTCACGGATAATATCATAGAGAATAGGATCCCTATCATTGGTCCCTGCATTGCTGCTGATAACAGGAGTTGTTCTCTATGGACTTGGGATTCTAGCGTGCGGGTTCTTTGCGGTATGGTGGACACGGCAATACTCGTATGAGCCACTCAGCTCGAGTTCCTTATGCAGTGACTGATGTCTTTACATTTTATTTGACAACACAGAACGTAGTGGAAAAAACACTTCAGCGGCTTAAGAGAGATCTATAAAGGTGGCGAATGTTGATCAATTGTCATTTGTCTCCATGCTATGAATCTTCCTGGGCACAAGGTGATTGATGAAAAACATGGGAAATGAGCTTGCCTCCACAACTGGCACTGATAACCAAATGGCAAAAAATATATATTTCATGAAAGAGCACGGAGAAAAATGTACGCAATCAAACAGACATGTCAAAACTTGATATATGATTACAGTTCAAGGGTGACCAATATTCTTGCCCTGTGGCCAAAGCTTGACGCACAAGCAGAATATTGAAGAGCTCAGTCTCACCTGAGCACCTCCATGTTGATCATTTGAGCAACAAAACACGTCAACTTGCATTGGTCAGGCCTGTTGCACGAGGCATGTGTTTTATCCATTACCTCCGGTTTTGTCCCACGTGTAAAACACTGTAATTCATACAGTTTATAAACATCCTAATGCAGGAACCGCTTTAACAGGCGTTACTGAGACCGATTGAGGCTCTTTCTGGATAAATTACCGTTATCACGAAATGTCATTAAGTTTGCTTGGTCAGTCCCGCGCCACAAAGTATTCGTTTAGGATGCACGGGAATCGAGCCAGAGAGGTTTCTTCATGAAGGCGCCACAAAGCCTCGGCATGTCTGCACCGCATGAAAGAATATGCTTACTGCAGCAATATTACGGGATGTCCCACATATGACCTTCATAACGTGAATGTTCCATCGCATGCAATCCCTACTGCTTCTAAATGAGTGGCGTGAGCAAGCATTGCTTGGGGGCTACCACTGCAAAGCTAGGATCAGAGCTGAGATCGCACATAAATCACCAAGACAAGGCGTGTTTTCCTAAGGACCTGAAACACATTTGGGAAATGTCTTTAAAAGGAAAACAGCAAGGGTTGGTGATTGGCGGTAAATTGATGCAGCCTTGTCTGGTTAAGCAGCAGTCGTTCCGTTTGAGATATACACTTGTACAATTAACGACAGGTCAGAGGGCCTTGCCAGAATGCTGATGTAGCCTGCATTGAAGGTCACTCACAAATGCACATGCCTGAGAGTCGCTTCAGTGCATCATTGTTTTTAACATATTATTGGTTCTTTCGGTAAAGTCGCGTAGAAGGGAAATAATAAAATAATAAAAATAAAACCACAAAATTCTCACGAATTATTAATTTCCACGTGATAATAAGCCACTTCGTTAAGCTATCACTTGTGGCCAGGTCGCTCCTGGAAAAGAGCCGTCTAGCTCAGTGGGCCTTGCCTGCTAAAAGAACAACATCGTTGTGTAGTTTTAGTTGTACCGGATAAAGCTCCCTCCCCTTGGGCGTCGAGGTGCCCAGTGGCTTCCTCGCCGCTTGTCGGTGGTTCCTCATCGCACCTCTGAGCCGTTTTCTTACTTTGAGAGCAAACGAAAGCCGTGCGCGTTTACAAGTTGAAAGTATTATTGTTGTTGTTGTCAAAGTGTGGCTCCTCCCGCCTCTTGCAGGAGATGTGGTCAGCATGTAAGAGTGGGTGGAACACCCTACAGAGGGGCAATCTCGTTGTCCCTGCGGTGTAGGGCCTTCCACCAGCAGCAGCGGTGTGTGCAGGCAACTCATTGTAATAGTACAACTTTAACCTGAATTAGAATAGTCAAGAAAGTTATTTATTTATACATATCTGATCAAGGTGAAGCATATGTGGGAAGCATGTTCAAATTGGGTGGGGGGATGCTGGTTGGCACGTATTAGAGATCATGAATAAAATAACTTAACTCGCGTTTGGAAAGTTGTGAGTTTAACTCCTGGACCGGGTCCACTGCTCATCTTCCCTTTATGGTCAATATATGGAGATTGTTACTGACCCCACAATGGGAACGTGGAACGTGGCCCAGTGGAGATGAGTGTGGCCCCATTGGATGCCATGGAAACTCTTTGTGGGTCGAGTTTCGGACCCCGCATCTGTGCGTATGCTTTATATAAAACAGCCCTCCCTCCCGACATTTTGTTGGAGCCTCCATAAAGAAGGGGAGTTGGCACAGTCAAAGGGGCTTGTAACACGAGGCAACACCTTTTCCCAGCCGATGAAAACCCCATCGGCAGGAAGTAACAGCTAAAGTTATCACCCTGTGATTTACATATGAAACCTCTCGTAATGTCTCGACAGTGTTCTCACACGTGTGGAATTTTATTTTTCACGACACTTAACGCATCATTATTCACACGTTAAGCAGCAAAGCTTTGTTTGCTGCAAAAAAAAGCAATTACTCACGATGATTTCCCCATTTCGGCAGCTTAATGAAGCATGTATAATTCGCTTGCTAATGATTACATTTATGCCATTTAATTTCAAAGAAAATAACCATTTAAGCATTACAGGGCACTAAGTGTATTGCGGAATTGTATTTTGAACAAATTGGTGACGCTGCTGCGTTGGCCGTGGTGAACAAATCCCAATTAACAACAACAACTTAGCACATTTGTCAACACGAGAACAATACCTGAAAATCTAAATATATAATAGGTGAATTTTTGGGCAATGTCCTTTCTTCATAGCACAAGAATAGAGAGGCAAGAGAGATAGAGTTGGAGAGTGTGAACTTCGCAGTATGAGGCATGATGAGCATCACACTCTTTTATTGTTTGCTCATGTCCAGTTATTAAATTGACATATTAATACTGTAGTTACCTGATATGAGCTATTGGGTAACAGACAAGAGGGTAAGATTTCGATTTAAAGCTTTCGTGACTGCAGGGATTCATCTTCTTTGTTCTTTCAGTAAAGTCACGTAGAAGGGAAATAATAAAATAATAAAATAAAACACAATAAAATAAAAATTATCACGAAGTTTCGGCCACAACACAAGCAGCCGTCCTCATGTGAAGAAACAGAGCTGTCGGAAAGACAGCGTCCCACCCCTAGTTAGACTAAAAACTTAGATTGGCAGCGGCGTATCAGGCACATTATTGACTGCTGGTGAGCATATGATCAGTTACTTATATTCCTGAAACTACTTCACAGCATAAGAACTTTGTTAATAACATGTGAATATCGACTGTCCTATTCCAATGTGCTCTTCTTTCTTTTATCATCATCATCATTATTATTTTTCCGCTTGTTTACCCAGGAAAGCATCTCTGCGTCTCATGAATCGTTTTCAGGAGGGTCTTGCTAAGTTTCTTTCACAGTGCGGGGCGATGCTGTCGATGTATAATCTCATTTCAGGCATTTTGCGGGTAATTCAAATATGGAAAATTTGCACCGTGATGTCGGCGCACAGTGACCTCCTCTTGGGAATGGTGTCACTGGATCTTTAACGTCCACTCTGAAGCGGACGGCGCGTATTTATACTGTTGACACTTCTGCAGTAATAACCAGGGGGAGGGGTCGCTGGGGGGTTGAGCCATGAACCTCTGCAACGAGCGGCGAATGTGGTATCACTGGGCCACGTGGCCACTCTCTAGAGTCTCATTGTCGTGTAACGGGATCCCGCGTTGGATGTTAAAGTAGCCAGCCACCGGCATGCATCCCTAGTGTTGCTGTTTGGTGTTTACAGCTGCGCGTCTGTCTTGTTTGCTTTCAGCCCGATCCCCACACGTGCAAAGGGGAGCAGGAGGAACCAACAACCCCGCCAACCACCAGTGAGAGTCCATCATCATCGTCGTCGTTGTCGGCTTCATCTAATTCATATTTATAAATTAGAAATGTTAATGCTCATTATTTCCGTTCACTCTCAGAGAGCGGGATTGATTCTGAGACACGGGAAACCAGACAAGTGGGAGAGCAGCCGGCATCAGCGCCATGGTCGTGTGGATTTTCTCCGAGTTCTCCGGGTTTCCCTCCACAGAACTAACAAGCGTGTAGAGTATGATTTGGCTGCGATACATTTCCACGTGAAAAGCCACTTCGTTGAGCTATCATTCGTGGCCAGGTTTCTTCTGAAAAAGCTCTATAGCTAAGTGGGCCTTACCTGGTAAAATGCAAATAGCTTAGTATATCTTCTTGGTTCTTTCGGTAAAGTCACGTAGAAGGGAAGTAATAAAATAATAAAAATAAAACATAATAAAATAATTCTCACGACGTTTTATTATGTTTTATTTTTATTATTTTATTACTTCCCTTCTACGTGACTTTACCGAAAGAACCAAGAAGATGAATTCCTGCAGTCACGAAAGCTTAAAATCGAAATTTAGCTTAGTATAGTTTAGAATAGAGATGGAAATCTATCCACTTGCTGTACTGCTGTCACACACTGCCAAGCCAGGGCATGCCGACCACGGCGCTCACGGCAAGGGAGGAATGTGTGCGAGCCACCAACCCTCTCCTACACAGTGCTGATTGCGGGCTTGGCTAGCCACCAGCATCAATGAGTGCTGTGTCCCTGTTGTCAGCCTCCGGGTCAACATGCTTTGTAGCTCGCTCAGGTGGACAAGTGAACGATGAAGAGTGAATGTTAAAGAACCCGTAATATTAATTGCAAGACAAGAGCTTTGTGATGCTATGGGAGTTCAAATCTTGAATTAAAATATTAGCCAAAAATGCAGTAGTACAATATCTGCAAACATGTTGCTAGAGTTTGATGGGGCTGCCTTAAAAATATATCATAATGGACACTGCATTTTAATCGACAAATGACATTAATGTTATTATATTTTGTCAAAGCATTACTGCCAGTGCTAGCGCAGTTGACTGACCCACTTTACCCACTACCGCTGAGCCAGCTGCAGACCGCATTCCGTTCACGAGGCGTCACAGCATCGCCTGCTTCCATCTGCACCGCACGTCGGCACCTGCCTATTGGTCCTCCCTTCTGCACGTGTCACTAATAACCGGGATGGCCCGGTGAAAACGCACACGTCCCACGCCGCCTTCATGCCGTGCCATGGATTGTGCACATCAACACATCACGACTACGAGACAGTCGTTCAGTCACTTTGAAAAACAACTGTACTCCTCTGCACGTGTTCGCCAGCGTGTAATGTGTGCTAACCACGGGGTTCGTGCCAGATCAGGTTTTTTATTGCAGGTGTTTTTCACTTTGGGGTCCTTGTGTTTTCGTTTACATTTTTTCCCTTAACGTATTGAAAAAAAACATCTAAATTTTGCCATTGGAATCTAAGCTCAGAACAAAGTCTGTTTGCATTCCGGAAACTCCTAGTACAACAGAGTCAAGCACTTAAAAGTAAAGCCTCAATGCCACGTTCCCATGACCGCTGAGGAACGAGAGCGGGCCCCCCAGTTCACGAACCGGGCAAGTGGACTCGGCCCACGTTTCCCCAGTCGCGCTGCCATGCCAATCCAACAGCAACCCCTCAAAGTGGGCCACGTGGCGCGGCCTTCCTGAGGCGGCTTTACACGTTCGCACCAGGCGGCGGTCCTGGTGCACGCCGGCGATGTCACGGGGTCAGCGCGGCAGAGAGACACCGCCGTCAGTAGCATGCGTCGCATCGAGCAACCTTAGGGGCATGGTTTTGTTTAAAAAAAATAAACGGATGGAAAATTACAAAAGTAGTATAACGTTACTAATAATAGCTTGGCCTTTCCCAAGCATATGAGAACCGTTATTTAAATTGGGGCTTTTTTCCTTCAATTGCTACTACCCTCCAGCCATGAAGGGTAGAGAGGAGGATGGGGTTGGAGGGACCCCGAGGGAGGGGCCGTGCCCACGGAGCAGTGTGCGGGTTGACGACCTGAGCCGCCGTGCAGACCCTGGATCACACGCGGGAGCCGTAGCTGCTTCCCAGTGGCCGTCACAACCAAACGCGCTCAAATGAACACGGGGCGATGGACTGGTGGCCACACTACATTGTGTGAATACATTATCTGGATATGCATCGCAGGCTGTTATTCAACAGCCTTCAAAAGGTCTGTTTTATGGAGCAGATAAATTGCAAGGTTTTTTTAAAGCTTCACGCATGATTAAGTGGTTGGCTGTGTGTGTCGAGCTACAAAATAACCTCCCAGAGCTATGTTTAACCAAAGTTAGTGCAAAGTCACACGGAACTTTGTGCAGTCATATGTGACTGGCTTTATGCCGTCGAAAATTGCGTGACTTTGAGTGGTTATACAGTGTGCTATAAACCCGGCTACCTGCGTTTGATTCCTGGGGACACCAGGGGCAAGTAATATCAGAACCGGTCCTGCACCCCCCCCCCCCACCTCCTTCAGTAATCTCTACGAACTGTCACGGTGAAATATGGTGAACAAAATAACCATGACCAATGTGACATGGGGAGGTCTTCATCCGCTGGTGAATTAAGAGTAGCTGGATTTATTTTTTGTGACATAGCTTAGCATTGAGTGGCTTATTAGGATAAAAATGTAAGATCTCAGGTCAGCTAATAGGTATCGCCCTAAGACGCTACTGAGTGTGGTGGTGTACATCTGCAATCCCGTTTTCTTGTGGCGCGAGTGTGGCAGCCAAAGGACCCTGGATGCCTGAGAGCATGACCACCGCGGAGATGGAGCGAGATAAAGTATTCCCTCTCGAGACCATGAGGGATGGCGACAGCTTGTGGAAGGTCTCATCCAACTGTGGATAGATCAAGGCAGATGATAATGATACGAAATATAACAATCCTACGAATGAATTTTAAAACTCCAATATGCCTATTATTATTTACGGTGATAACATGCACTCCCTACCATGATGTCTGTCCCTCACCATCCCCGGTACAGGTCACCTGGGACAGGGCCTGACACCCCTCAAGCACGGCTCGACCCCGAAGCGAGACTTTTGCTACAAGAACGAGACCAGGCACTGAGGGCAGCCCAGGAGACCGTGCTGGTACCGCCCAGTGCACACACACACCTGTGCAAAGACCAAGATCCGCACAGTAGCCTTTAACAGCCTGCTGGAGGCGAAGGCTAGTAGCGAGCACCTATGGAGACCAACACTGCACACGAGGGGGTGGTGTGGCCAGCGCCACGCCCGGCTGCCTTGGTCTTCCAAGTGCTGATGTTTACATACTGCACCAGGTACTCATTTAAGGCTGCGTTGACTTCATAGGAAGCCCGGGACAAGTTCAGATGTTCACCACTAAAGTTGGCGAATATCTGAGCAGGAATTGAATTCACGTCGATGTGTTTGTAGTGCAGCATGCCAACCACTACACTACCACTCTCGATGAGACTGTCCCCAACAGATTGAAGAGGCTATATTCGGCATATTTGTCTTTGTCTACACATCTGTGCTCACACTGACACAGACACGCACTGACCCCCATACATGCACATACACAGCCAAAGCAACTACCGTTATCATTCCCCATTAGATGGCGGTGACATCACTACAGTAGTTTGACTACACTCCCTGGCAGGAGGTCAAGGGACTGGTCCAAGTTCTTTTTGGGGTTAATAAAACGTGGGTTGCTGGCAGGCGCACCACCCCCACCTGTACTCCCCCCCCTCCCCCCCCCACTGTGCCAACCTGTCAAACACAGACAAATGCAGACACATGGACACCCAGACGCTCCATCACCACCAATCCACTTTCTTTCCGTTAACCATCCCGGGCTGATCTTATATCCTGTTTAATTAGAAACTTTTCCTGACTTTAATTGTATGTGCTGTTCGTCAGGCCAGCCAGTTTAAATGTGGATTTTTTTATTTCCCCTCTTAATCTATGGACATTATTCCTTATATATAAACATTTGTTAATTTGTTTCTAGCCTTCCTTGAGGGATGGCCACGATATGGACTACCCTATGCCACAGTACTCTCTGTCTTTGGCAGTTCTTGTGAGTTTTCCCACACTGAGCCCCGAAAAAGTGATGCTGAAAATACTTGATTGTGCGGAATGAGGAGCTGAGTTGATCTCGACTGAAATTTGAACTCTTAGAGTTGCTATTACAAGCAATTTATTCAATCAGCGCAGCCAACTCTCACAGCAATAAACGTAGAGTATTTACAACACACACAGCATTTATGTATTGTTCAGATATATATTTGACCTCTCTTTTATCTGAAGAAAATCTTAAAGCATGGATGAAGTTTGGGAACATTAATGATTTCCTGCTGAGAAAATTAGAATTTATTTTCCGCCCAAAGTTATAATTCCCTCCAGGGCTTTATCCTTGTTATAAAAGCCTTCATTTTCCCAAAGTTAAGATCCCTGCCTGCTGGTAAACAGAGACATACTCCAAAAAAACCATCGTCATGATTGATCAATGGATGTAAAACCATTAATGAAAACACGTCTTCTTAACGGTGATTACATGCTGCTAATATATATTAACATGTTTTATATTTTTTGAAATAATTTCCCAATAGGGGTAGCGAGGTGCCCTGGGGGCTAATCCCTGTGTCAGCACTCTCATGAGGCACAACTTAAGCTCAAATTCCTGGTGCAATAAAACCCTATATTAAAATGTTTTATTCCAAAAATTAGGAATGTATTTTATGTGGAGGGGGAGATACGGCAAGGAGGCATTATACTGTCTGCTTCTTATTTTGTTACTTATATTTTCCACATCTAACACAGAGGATCCTTACCTCGAAACATCTGGCAGTTCACCAGCGTCGGTTGAAGCAAAGCTGACTGTGCTGATGAAACACTTGAAGGTCAAAACTGGGCCAGAGGTTGCTTGTTTCAAACCAATGCTGCTGGAAATTCACTCCCTGAAGGCCGTGTGGCCAATCGAATGTGTACACTAAATAATTGTATTCCTCATCTGCAGAGACAAAAGAAATGGGAAGGAAGCGTATTGTCTGCTTATTCATTGTGTTACTTATATTCTCCACAATGACACAAATTATTATTTCGTGCTGCGTATCATATTTGACGACATCAGCGGTCTCAGACCGGCCAGCAACAATGAACAAGATCAAAGCAAGAGTTACATTTTTACGTGACAAAAAAAACAGCGTAGAGATAAAGGAATACATCTCTCAGCAGAGCAATTTAGATGTGCAGATAAACAGTTGAAGAGATAACAGACACAACTCTGCAATGTCTCTTCCACGGTCATTCCTCATCACGTGACAAGATTGCTGTCTGTGAGGGCACCTTGATGGGCATGTACTTTGTGCTGTAAATACAACAGTATGAATAAACCCAACCTTCCTGTACATTTAATCAAATCATTATCAGTGGTTTCCCTCTGCAGAGGCTGGCGGCTGCCGTAGAAATGTGGAACCAGAAAAAACAGCCGGGTTAGTGTCTCCAACTAAAGTGCAAGATGCATTGGTAATTGAACCTGAAAACACATTTCATATTCCTGAGGGATGGGATCGACGGAGGAACCCTCGGGTGAGAAGGTTACAGCTACACCACAGCACCTGCATTTGCCCTTCACCCCACCGTGTGCTCACCCCTGCGCCCTGCATGCCAACCTAAAAGCCTCTTTGACGTGCCACAAGCGATGGCGCATCTAGACGTGCCTGCCGCACGCTGTTTTGCGGAGGACTTTTGAGCGATTTTTGTTCACAAAGCCTTCGGCGTTCCCGCTGAATCCCAGTAATCCTAAAGCCCCATGAATTTACGGCCAATGTTATAATAATACAAGAGTCGTTCTTTATGTACCCAGAGAAGCCGCGACGATTTTCAGGCAGGGTCTTGCTTGAAATGTTTGGCCGATTGATTAGAGGTGTCTTTGCTTGCAGGAGACGTGTAAATGCCCAAAGAAAAGCTGCACGTATGAGGAGATAACACAAAATCTGGAACAGGTTTCCTACCTACTTAGGGTACTGCTTCCCACAGTCTTTGCTTTGCCCTGTAGATAGGTGCCTCACACACAATGACGTCACCAACCCTGCACTCAGATTGCTGGATGACAGACACGTGCCGCCAACACACGGCTCAGGATCTGACTTTGCCACTTTGCGCCAGGCCTCCGTTACACTTGAGAATTAGCTTGACGTTAGATGATTATGGCAGTCTCGTGATGACAAACGATGTCCTTACGTGTGTGCTCTGTCGAACTCAAAGGGTCTTCCTGCTCGAATCAGTGGGGCAGCACTCATCTCCATCGGCAACCCCAGCCGATGATGGAAATTACACATTCTCTTGGCAGGGACCAGTCTTCCCACAAGATGAACACCGTTCAGTTCCAACAAATTGGACGCCCGAAAGAGATCTGAACTCTCAGCCTTAAAAATCGCGGGTCAATTGCTTTAACCACAATGCCACGCTGATTGGAAACAATCAAATTAATTTGAAAAATGCTGTCCTTTGAATTGCCGCATTAAAAAAATGTTGCACTGAAGGAATTAATTCTAGCAGGGCGTTGCAGCACAGCAGGCTTTAGTCAGGCCCGTAGTATTGGGTGATTGATTAACACTGTTGTGTGTGACCTGCGCTAATTGTATCAACTGCACCTGACCTTGTACACTTCAGCTGGATGTCGGGGAGACAGAGAGCAGGTTATTAAAGCTCTTGCCTCCGTTATCGTTTCATGTTTCACCGACAACCTCATAGAGCCTTGAAGGCAAAGCCAAACAGTATCATCATGGCCCGCCAACCTGATTGATGTTAAAATGGTTGGTTACTTTAGGTAGGTGACCAACATCTACATAGTGATTGATTTAGAGCATACTTTGGCTTTCCCCCCAGTACACAGTTAAGACCACTAGCCAACGTTGTAATCCGATGGGTTGCTGACACACAGTTGCACGTTTCCATACGGTGCCTGGATAGCCCAACATCACGCTCGCCTCTCACCCCGGCTGTGACAGGGTTAGGATTCACAAAAGCAACTTGCTTCACCGCCTTTCAAACTTTTTTTTTAATCGAATAAAAAATGCGCGACTGAAGGCCAAAAAATAGTAATCACGGTTAGATGATGTATGTTTCAATTCTGGTAACTAAAAGTGGGACAGTGATTTAATTGACTTATTTTCAGTGGCCATACTTAAGTATGTGTCCCCTTGACAAATGGATTTGTCAAGCACAGAGCAAAACTGCTTGCCAGGCCTGATTCATGGCTTCCCAAAGTACAGAGCCATGCTAATTCGGTAATTATTCTCATAGTTATTATTTTTATTGCCTTGTTTATTTCCTGATTTAAACACTGGCCGAACATGTTTTTTAGGTTATCATGTTCTGGAAATGCTTTTTCTTCAAGTACAAACTGTGTCATGGTATTAACATAGCCCTTAAGTCTTAATAATTTATAATTAATTATGCTTCATTCTATTTAGCCAGTGATTCCATTCAAACGAACGAGACGCATGTACCCGAGTACATGCTTCAATCCAAGCATTTAAATAAGACCCACTCATTGTCTTGTAAACGCACCACAAGACTCGCTCATAAATGTACCATAAATATTATACGAGCCAAATGCAAATAAATGATCACACGTTTTCAAGGGCAGGATGCAAGCGTGCGAGGGGGCAGGAGATGGTTTCGTTTTCAATGTCGTAATGTACATCGTGGAAGATGTTGTGAGATGGGTCAGAATCATCATGTTCGAAAAAACAAGCACATCTCTGAAGACAATGCAAGTTCAAATTCATGTTGAGGGTTACCACAGCTTATCATCCCGGCAGGGTCGATAATACGAGGCGTTGATCGTTTGAGGCCAGCAGTGATTGACCTCGATGGGAGAGTATCCCCCTACGACGGGATTGTGGAATTCCCTCGACTGGTCGAGGCTGGCAACTGCGATGAAAGTCTCGCGAGGACTTTGTTCTGAGAGGAGCGGGATGTATGCGGACTCTTCTGACTGGGCCATTCACTCTGTTTGGGCATGGGGAATGCTTGGGAAGATCCTTCATCCAGCAGTGGATATATCGTGGCTGACAATGATGATGACTTTTTACGAGTTTGCTTTCGTGCTTTCATATTTGTCTACGTTAACGTAAAGCGCATTGCTCGTTCAAGGATCGTGAGTAAAATAACGTTCGCCAACGCTTCAGGCCTTCGGCGTGAATGAATGGGAGAGGATTCTCGTTGTGTCCATCGGCACACCGTCCCGTGGGTGTGCACGCTCACGCACAACCTTTCGGCCTTCTGCCACAAACTCACTGTAAACAATCGTGGCAGTTCATTGAAACTATTTTTTGTCAGGAGTCTAAAGTATTGAACCATCTGGCCCATAGAGATCAAAACCTGCCCGCCTTTGTCGAGAGCTTATCTACTTATCTTTTTATCACTGTCTGTTTCACCTCAACAAGCCTTCCTTATGTTATCGCACTTAATCCAGCCGCAACTTATTTCCTGCTGTCAGAACCGCTTGGCCACTGAGCCCTATGAGGAGGCAGCAGCAGCGGCAGCGGCGGCAGCTTCGAGCGGCGAGAATTATAACGGGGATCGGCGTGAGGAGGCACGCGGGGCTGGCTGTGGCAGTGACCGGATGACTTTAATCTAAATTGTCTTAGGGTTGTTATTGTCTGGCTTGCATCACACTGGGATTTTTGCACACAGCGTTGTAATACGGTGGGGTTTTTTTTCCTGGAAGATTTGCTGGTTTAGCCAGGATGTTTTTGTTGCGCGTCGTCGCTTTAAGATGTTCTCCGTTCATATTTAGTTTGTTGCGATTGCACCCGACTCAAGAGCCGCATGGCTCACAGGGCTATACCTAATAAATGGAACTTGAAACTTCAAACCTACGGCAGTAGCCGCCTGCAGAGGGAGGAGTGGCGAGCGGTGTGAAGATGGACAGCGCGAGAAAGAGGGGCAGAGAGCGGGAGAGAGCGAGACGGCGCGGGAGAGAGCGAGACGCCGGGGGAGCGAAGACGAAGGGGGCGCAGTGAGAAGAACAACACGAGGATGAGAGGGGGAGAAAGATAAATAGACGCCGAGGTAGTCAGCGAGGGGAAATGACGAGTTGGATTGTGGGAGGCAGGGGGATTTAGAGCGTGGAAGAAAAGGTCTCGATATGGGGGAGAGATGAGAGGGGTGTGAGTGTGTATGTGTGCTGAACTTTGTTCGCACCGCACCTAGCCAAACGTGCTAATCGGAGGTGTCGTGGTAAGAGGTGGTATTTTCGATTTGCGAGAAGCATCCAAGAAAGAATGAGTACAAGGGGACATTGTTAAAGGGAGGGAAACGGATGGGTGAAGCAGCTGGATGAGGAAATTAACAATTGCAGGGATTTACCTCGACTTACGTTCAAGATGAAACACATTATTAGTATTATTTGCTGCTGCTGCAGTGGTGCACAAGCGTCAGTAACAAAACCACTAAACACGTCTTTGTCAATGACACCCTGGGCCGCAAAAGTAACGAGTGTATCAAAATCAACAGAATTGTTTTACCGATCTTCCCTATGTTATGTTTGACTGCATTTGGACTAGTTTTTCAGTAATTAATATTACAAGGTTTACTTTCTGTGGTGTTATATTTCACGCATTTTGTAAATTGCAAGACTGGCTTATAGCATATGCAACTTTCAGCTGTGTTTGTGGAGGTTGTTCAGAGGGACCTGCATTGTACATCAATAATAATAACATCTATAATATTAACTGTGCCCTTTCAATACTATTTAGGACAATGTGACATCACAGACTGTGTGACACCGCAATATCTGGCAGATATCACAGTCTCATTTGTATTGTTTCACTTTTATATTCTCTGCATAAACGGTTATGGAGAAATTATGAATCTCTTCGCTTACACACACACAGACACGTTCACACCAACTGATGCAAATAATCCAGAGGCAACTTTAAGATTCCCAGGGTTCAATGATAGTTCCTGAGGCTCACAGAGTCAGACTAAGGCAACTTTTGAGTTCCTAGGGTTCAGTGTGAATTCAGAGTTTAATGCTGAACTCCGTGAATAATACTAAGGCCCCTTTAAACTTCTTATGGTAAAATGTTAATACCCAAGACTCTGAAAGCCACTGTTCAAAGAAGCAGAGGTGTGTGAACCCACAATATATATAAATAGAAATGATGGATGGAGGATGATGATTAATTCTGCCGATTAACGAAAGGTAGTCCAGTTACTTCTCTCCCGTGTTGCTGCTCCTATCAATGCCTTTGGCCCATGCTCACCTGGTTGTGCGCACGCGTGCAGCTGCTGCAGGCGAAGGTGCAGCGGCTGGAGCAGCTGGTGCAGATAAAGGACGCACGCATCGCCGAGCTGACGAAGACACAGCCTCCGGCACCAGATCGTCGCCTTGCCAAGAGATGATGACATCGATGATTCTTCCAACTCCCCTGCCGCTGGGTAGCAGCTCGGCAGTCAATGCCCTCGCCACTCAGCCAGTTTGCACAGCATTGACAGTTCATTTACCACAGTGGGCCTGTAATTTATACAAGTAATTATCAAAGCGTCAAACACTACACGCTCAGCTGATTGGCACGTCGGGCAAGGTGACATCGTGGGAATATTGAGATGCCATGAGGTCTAAATGTGTCTAATCAGAGCATGTATTCGTGTTTGCCTTGTCCTGCACATTGTTCTTTTCTCAGCTGATAGAGATTTATATTGGCTAAAAATGATGAAAACGTGAATTACTCAAGTGTCTCTTGTGATGTAATGTGGATACGAAACACTTGATATATTCTGTAAGCAAAGGTATACAATGCGTAATTTAAAATGTCACGTGTAATGAATAATAAAATAACTTCCCACAATGACGAGTGCTCGAGCCGTATCCTTGGAAGAGTTAAGAGTGAATCTGCAGGCGGCACGCGCTTGGTGAGAGGCGGGCGTCGCGGCACAAGCTTGTAATGTCTGTTGAACTTTTTTCGCACTGTACGTAGCCAACCGCACTAATCGGAGGTGGTAATCCAGCACAAAGAGGTAATTGAACACGTTGGAGTCAAAGACTGGAGGTTTGTCTCGATTTATAAGACGCCTGGATGGCCTCCGTGGAGATAGAGCGATGAGACACGTTCATTCGCAGATCCCAGATGGATTGTTGATGCAACAATTTATCCATGATCATGAGAGGTGGAGGTGGCAACAAGGGGGAGCCTTCAGCAGCGGATTGATCATGGCTAATGATGCTGAAACACGCTTGGCTGTGAGGTGGGCCGTGAGATGGACCATTAGATTTATCGAATCTGTCTTTATTGACCTTTGGGCAACGTCTTCCCTGGTGTGTGCGCTTTCTCCAGGTACTTTCCTTTCCTTCCAGGTGCAAAACACTTTTTTGAAAAATGTACTGACCAAACAATTCCAAATGAAGGACCCTCTTGAAAAAGAGTTGCGATTAAATGAGGCTCTTGTGGTTGAACAAATACAATGAATTAGGTGACTATATTTGGTTTTATTAATGCTGAAGCACAGGTATTATGTTTATGGACACTAAGCCTGTCTCACACGTAACCTTGGGGCCAAGGGACAATGTTTTTCAAGTAATTCAGCCGATACTAATTTTTGTGTGCGCATGATTTCTACTTATCTTTCGTAGAATTACATAGCGCCTTATTTCAAGGCGATTTACGAACAATATATATACTTGTATATACGGTGATAGTGGTTAAAATAAAGAGTGGGGTTATTGCAAGTTGTGGTGTCGTGAGGGTGACATTAGAGCAGGCGGGAGTGGCTAAGGAGGGAAAGTGATCGGGGTGAGTGATGGTAGTCGGGGTAGTGATCGGGGTGAGTGATAGGGGTTGGGGTAGATTTAGTCAGCTGGCACAGCTATGCCGGATGACCAAGACCAAAATTCAGCTTGCTGACACCAGTCAGAAGATGAGCATAGAGGGAACCAGTCACCTATACAGCTAAAGAACATATCACTTTTGGAATGTGGCATCTGTTGTAGCGGGTTGTGAAATGGACTACGATTTGCTGTGCGGCTTGATGTCAATTTCACAGTTGCTATGTAGGTGTCCACAAAATGCAGAATAAATCCAGAGCACAGCATTCAAGCCACATGACCGCGTGTTGCTGGCGCGTCTTTATTGCGTGTGACCTTGTGCACGGGGAGTAGCGCAGGAGCGAGAGAAGCCTCGCGACGACTTCCTGCAGCCAGGGCACGCATCGGAGTTGCGTTCAGCCGCGCGCCGCCTTCCCTTCAATTATTATTGATGTGCGTCTTATCCATTTCGGGTTTTTTTTGTTCGTGGCATTGAGCACAACAGTTGTGCCGTTCAACCCACGACAGAGTGGGGGGAGGAGGGAGGTAGAGGCCAGGCGGTGTGTTGGGGAGATAGCAAAATGTCCGTCAGCTGTGCCAAAAGATAACAACCGTCTGTCAGCATCTGGGGACGTTCAGGTCTGTCGGCGGCGTCCGCGTGAATGCGATGGGACGTTTGCCCAACGGGGGATGACGCAAACGGCAGTGCGCTGCGGACGAACAGCTCCGACGTTCTCTTGAAGTCTCGGAACGTTGCGATGCTCGCTCGACAAAATTCGTTCGTGTCTCGAAGTGCGCTTTCCTGCTCGATAGCGGGAACAAAAAAGATGCAGAGGATGTTGTGAGACCAGACAAGTGAGCTGCAACCACAACAGCCCTCTGCGATGGGAAACGTGATTTTGCCATGCAGTCAACAAATCTCTTGTGGTCTGAAGTGGCCTGTTCAGAATGTGAGGAATCTGATCCGAGCAGCATGAGCCACACATGATGCTGTTAGTGATCTGCCAGCTGTTGCTGGCGGTGCTTCATTAAACGTTTGACATCATTTCATACCAGCGCCGAGGCATACTGGAAACTGTAGTTCGTAGTGTTGTTAAAACAGTGTTGTCAATCGACTGCTGGATGAGGGCCTACCCATAACCAGGCGGGTCTAGGGGGTTGTTTGACCATACTTGCACCGTGTTGGTCAGTTCGCTGCGGAAAGTCAAAAGTGATTTTTTTCTGTTGTGTAACTGACCTCTTCCATGGGAATGTGGACTTGCCAACAGTGGCTCAGGCCGACTCACTGCACCATGGCTCACGTAAGCAGACGAGAGACAAGTTGACCTTCGAAACAAGATTTAATGTCCCAGCTTGACACGGCGCCCTTGCAAGAGAGACGTCAATTAGAACCCCTCTGGAACTATCAAGGGCACTAACAGCTGTGTGCATCGGCAGCGTGTGTCATTGATTTGCTCCACCATCACAATATCGTAAGCCTTAAAGGCTCATTAAAATTGAGTTGAAATAAACTTATTTGTTAGCTCAGTATTGATTGGGCTAAAAAATCATCAAATCTATTTTACTCCCCTTTCCCAACATTAATCTCCTACCCGAGATGAAACGAGAACCCGATTTCAACTCACTTGGGAGGCCAGCATTGCCAGAGCACACTCCATCAGCTGACTCGGGACTCTGAGAGGGCAAATAATTTGCCCTCCAAGCCATTCTGCTATCTCTGTTATTTGGCTAATAATTCAGTATTGTTAAAATCGCATTGTTCATTCTTAATGCAAGTTTTTTTTTTTAAACAGGACCTTAGCCGATTGTGATTTTATTGAGCATTAACAAGAAAATTATGAGGACTCTATTGCATTATAATTTATTTGCAAGGTTTAGTTATTGCGAGGTTGATTTGGAATAAAAATGTGCATGGCAATGAGATAACATAAATTACTTCATGACTGATTGTCTTGTTTTAAGTAACACAATTGTTTGGCGAAGGTCTTGGAGAGGCTTTCATCCAGCAGTGGACTGATCAAGGCCGATGATCTATATTGTCCCAAGAGTATAGTTATTAGACAGGTTGATTTGTGTGTGTGGATATGCATTTGTCAAGTGCGTTCGTAGAGCTGTGTCGGTACGCCATAACTGGGACAAAGGATTGACAGAGGTTATGAAGACAAGTTCAAGTTCATGTATTAGGTATAACCATGTGAGCCATTCGGCTCTTGAATCGGGTGCAACCGCAACAAACAAAAAACTAAAACATGAACAAGAAAACATCTTAAGTGACTACGTGACTATGTGCAAACTGAAAATCCAGGAAACAAACCAGCAACAATTCCAGACAAATCAACTTCGTTCAATATTGGAGAATCCCTGCTCTTTGTATTCTCCAGCAAAAGTTGTTTATATATCGTGCATAATAAGGCGTTTGTGTATGCGTATGGGCAGAGACCCCAAACACAATATCGGGCGTGCCCCCTGGGAAATTCCGAAGAAGGAACTTTCTTGGCCTCAGGACTGTGCCTGTTAGCTTCACTTCTTATTTGGCATCGTTGCTTGTACCAACCCTGCTGCATTCATCAAGTAAAAGCATAATGAATGGTATCAAAACCGATGTATGCGCTCTATGCAGAAAACGCGTTCCCGTTTAGAGTTCGCCCGGGCCCGCCCAGTAGCCTGCTTCATGCCACGGCTGCTGCCACAACACGGGGATTGTAAACCGCTTTTGTTGTTGTTGTTGTTGTTGAGAGATTGACTTGCCACCATCGCCCCTGAGGAGCAGCTGACAAGAGCCGCTGGGACCTTTAAAGGCCAGCAACGCAGGAATTTACTAGTTCAGTCAAAATCGGTCGTGTCCTGCTCCTTAACAACTTGGGATAATCCTAATTTGATAAACACATTTGCCTTTTTTTTTAATAACAGTCATGCCAATTGTATCTATGCAGGGTGCAAGCGTAACAAATGTTGGATAGCTTTATACAATAAAACCAAAAACTTCTTCTTGCACGGCAAAGTAAGGATGTTGCAGTCAGTGAGCCATCGTCCTCCAGCGCCCTGTCGTATAAAGTCCATATCCTTGCAAATCATTTCAGCTGTGCACATAAGAGACTCGCATCTGCCAAAGGATGCCTACGAGTTAGACTATACAAAATTTAATGCAAAATCAAACTATACTTTTATCTAGAATTGAAGCTTTCGTGACTGCAGAAATTACTATTCTCATTGGTTCTTTCGGTAAAGTCACGTGTGTAGAAATAAAATAAAAGTTAAACTAATCACAAATAAAATACATTTTCAATAAATTTTAAAATGTATTTAAATTGTATTTTATTAGTGATTTATTTACATTTTTAAATGTATTTAAATTGTATTTTATTCGTGATTTAACTAAATTGTATTTTATTTCTACATACGAAACTATACTTTGTTTGGGTGCAGTCATCAATTATTCGATTTAGACAAAATTTGCCACAGGTGAAGAACAGGTGTGTCGGAAAGACAGACGCTGTCTTTACGACACACCTGTTCTTCACCTGAGGACGGCTGCTTGCGTTGTGGCCGAAACGTCGTGAGAATTGTATTTTTTTATGTTATATTTTTATTATTTTATTATTTCCCTTCTACGTGACTATACCGAAAGAACCAAGTAGATGAATCCCTGCAGTCACGAAAGCTTTAAATCGGAATTGACAGCTTGAAAGCATTTAGCGCGGGGCCCTTGAAAGTGCGGGGCCAGTAGCTACTACATATGTAGCTACTACATATGTAGCTACTTTTGCTCCTAGGATAATCCGGCATTGTGTGAAACGGCTTCATTTTTCGCCACGCCACCTCATCACTTCCCATTCACAATCAGAGGATATATTTTCCAGTTGTACCACCACCTCAACAGTTTTTACACAGCCGCATGATTAACCAGAGACTCGCATCAGAGACGAGACTTCTCTCCGCGTGAGTGCCTCTCCCCCGCTCTCTACGCGTTTGCTCTCCGGCGTGAACTTCGTGCTCTTCCCAAGCTCGGCCTCTCAGCCCTGGAGACCTGCTTGACCTCTGCCA